GCACAGGAGCTGAGAAGGTGTTTTAGGGAACAGATTACAGGGCATACTAAGAAGAATGTAAGCCTTCTGAAATGTTGGATAGTATTAGTTTGCTAGGGCTGCCATAACAAAGTACCACAGGCTGGGTGGCTCTAACAAGAGAAAATGGTTCTCACAGTTCTGGAGACTAGAAGTCTGGAATCAAAGTGTGGGCAGGGTTGGTCCCTCCCGAGAGCTGGGAGTGAACGCTCCAGGCCTCTTCTCTCCTTGGCTTGTAGGTGGCTGTCTTCTCTCTGTAACTCTTCACATCCTCTTCCTGTTAGGTGTGTCTATAGCCAAATTTCCCCTTTCCATAAGGATACATCAGTCACGTTGGATTAGGGCCCACCCTAATGACTTCATTTTAACTCAGTTACCTCTGTAAAGACCCTATTTCCAATTAAGGTCACATTCTGAGGTCCTAAGACTAGGACTTCAACAAACGAGTTTAGGAAGGATACAATTCAACCCATAACAGGCTTGAACCATTTTATTTTTTGATAATCATGTATAGGGTGGTCCCAGATAATGTAAGAGTGGTCCCAGGACTCTGGAGGGCTTGAGGACATCTGGGTTACCCTGGCTTCAGATTAACCAGACCCAGGAGCTATGTGCTAGCCCACCCTCCCCCCTTTGGAATATGAGCCCAACTCACTTTCAAGTTTGATCTCCCAATTAGTATTGGTGTCCACTATTGTTCTTTAATTCTCATAGAGATAAAAACACAGAACTTAGCTTTTCTGTTAAGGGTTTATTCTGCTTGATGCACTTTTTTTTCCTAGTTTTTTTATTGTGGTAAAATACACATAACATAAAATTTACCCTTAACCATTTTTAAGTGTATATTTCAGTGATATTCAGTACATTCATATTGTTGCACAAGAACCACCACCATCCACCTCCTGATCGCCTTTCCTCTTGCATCCATTAAACAATGCCTCCCCTTAATCCTCTCCTCCATGCCTCTGGCAAGCACCATTCTTCTTCCTCTCTCTCTGTCTCTCTCTGTCTCTCTCTCTCTGTCTCTCTCTCTCTCTCTCTCTCTCTCTCCCTCTCCCTCTCCCTCTCCCTCTCCGTCTCCTTCTCCCTCTCTTTCTTTCTTCCTCTCCTCTTTCCCCCCCACAACATAGCCTCTCGTAACCACCGTTCTACTCTATGTTACTATAAGTTCAGTAAGATTTTTTGTTTTGTTTTGTTATTTGTTTGTTTTAGATTCCACATATAAATGAAATTATGTACTACCTATCCTCCTGTGCCTGGCTTATTTCACTTAGTATATGTCCTCCAGGTCCATCTATGTTGTTGCAAATGTAAGGATTTCCTTCTTTTTAAAGCTGAATGATATTCCATATGTATATATAGATAGATATCTATATATTTATCTATCTATCTCTATATATAGAGATCTATATCTATCTATCTATCTATCTATCTATCTATCTATCTATCTATATATATATATATATATATATATATATGGAATATATTCATCTGTATCCATTTATTCCATCTATAGACATTTATGGTGCTTCCATGTCTTGTCCATTGTGAATAATGCTACAATGATCATAGAAGTGCAGATATCTCTTCAACATAGTGATTTCATTTTTTTTGAGTAAATATGAAGAGTGGGATTGCTTAATGCTCTCTAGTACATTTGTTGTCTCAACAATATTAACACATGATGTTCCCTTCTTACACTTTAGGGAAATGAAGCTCAGTGAGATTAAGTGGCTTGCCTGAATTGTCCAAGCTGTCATTAAGTTGCAGATACTGAGAGAGATTCATACTGAGGACTTTCTGACTTCAGTGTCCATGCTCCTTCCTTAACATGGAGCTACTTCACACACACACACACACACACACACACACACACACACACACGTGTGTAAATGAAACATTCTAGAATTATTCCTCCCAATTTATGTGAAAAGCTGTGCTTATCCAACATAATCCAGGATGTATCCTCTCAACAGAAAGTTTAGAAAAGATGGCATTAGAAAAGAGTTCTAGGTAACTCCAAGAACTATGAAACGTAATGGAAAAAATATATATGAATTACCTGACTCTCTATCTCACAATCACAGGAATTTATGTCAGTTGCCTGTCAAGGTAAAGAAACAAAGGAAGCATGTTTCCAGTGTTGGAAAGAAAACAGCACTCAGTGGCAATCCAGGGTCCATGACACCCCTCAAGAATCTCAGGAAGCCCCTCCGTTCCTCAGTAAGAACAACTGAAGTGCAATGAAATGCAGCCTGGAGCTCCTCCCTGGGGATCACACTGCTGCCTGGACCCCACTGCACACCACGTGGCTGAAATGCAACTTGGTGAAGAGAGTAAATTAAGCCACTCAAACTGTGACATGGCACTAGGAATCATGAATAAAGTACTGTAACTTGGTGTTATTAAAACAAATAATTATGGGGCCGGCCAAGTGGCGCATTGGTTAAGAGTTGGCTTGGGACACCAGGTCTGAGAAGCAAGTCCCTGTTTGGATCCCACCTGAGGGCCAGTGATGCTGCGCCCTCTACAGCTAAGATAGTGAACAACAGCTCGACCTGGAGCTCGGCTGCCGTGAGTCGCTGGCAATGGCGTAGGCTGCAGTGGGGTGGCAGTAGGACTGCTGTGAAGCTACCATGAGTGGCTGACAGCCAGCGTGAGCGGCCGGCAGCTGACATGAACCACCACGAGTAACTGGAGCGACTGCCTCACCCGGGAAGTGTGCAATAATACCAACATGAGCCAATGAAGCGACATCCTCCACAACTAGACTGAAGAACAAAAGGACAGCAACTTGTCTGTCCCCCTTCCCTGATTCCTCAATAAAATCTTAAAAAAAAAAAGAAAAAAAACCCCACGAATAATTATAGAGAATGTAGTGACATACTTCTTTCTTGTCAACATAGCATCAGATTAATTTCATGACTCTAAGCTTCTTAGAGGGGAAAGACTCACGCTTTGCAGTATCCCGTTCATGATGCTGTTCAGCAACAGCAATGGCCCGGGCCCCCTCCCCACAATGAAGGCGCTCAGGGACTGGCACACGGCACTAACGAGCCCTGGGGCAGAGGTCACTGCCCGGTGTAGGCGGGCCTTTGGCCACACTCTGCTCCTGGTCACAGATGGGGCCCAACCCCAGTCCCTTTCATCTCACACACTGGGTGTTCTTGGCCACAAGAGGACTAATTCAAAATAATTTTCAGCGACTTGGTGAATAAACTCTTCCATTGGAGATAATATTGCATTGCTAGTTGTATTTTGAACTACAAATCCTCCTTGGTGAGATTTGTGTAAATTGAGGATCATTTGATTGATTTTTGTTTAACTCCCTGCTTTCAAATGCCTCCTGTAGCTTCCAGTGGAACTACATGAACCTAATTTAGTCCCTCACCTGTTGCTACTGGTAGCGAACTCTATCTCTACCAAGACATTGGGATTTACTTGCTTATCCAAAGAACCTTACAGACCATCTAGTTGTGATGGTTTAATATGTCGGTGGATCTAGAAACTTTATTCCTGAATGCAGTTTGATGGAATATGGATTTCATGCTGCTTGTAGAGTTGGACTACCTCAGCTAAGAAATGGGCAAATGCCCACTTGGAAATATTTTGCACTTTTAAATATTTTCTTTGTGTTCAACAGAGCCCAGCAAACATGTGCAGGCCAGGTATCACAGTAGTTTTCCTGCGCTACTTGGGAGAGGTCATAGAGGATCACACCTGTACTTTAAATACTATCTGAGCTCTGTGCATCTTTGAGAAATGATGTAAGAGGTAGGAAAAACATTAAAGAAATGTTGAAAACTAAACATGACTATTTAAATGTTACCCTGAACTCTAACTGTCTTCTAAGTTTTGCAAAAATATTTTTAACTGCCCTTCTAAAAGTTGGCAAGTTTCCATTATAAAATAGGACATTTTCCTCCATTCCATGAGAGTAGCCTGGAATTCAGAAATGCACTATATCTTGGATTGTAAGGAAGATGAAATTTCTTATTATCTTCTATTTTGATAAACACTAAAAATAAAATAATCTTATTTTATTGCATATGCCATTGTTAAGGAACAATAGTAAGAAAATTCTAAATAATGTGTAATAGGTTTAATTTTAAATTATGGAGAATTAGACTGTGGTGATTTTTAGTGAGTTAAGAGTTGAAAGTATTGATTTAGAAGAAACAACCCTAAAAGGCAAGAAACACAGATTTGGGATAAGCACAGAGCAAGCGCTGACCTCTGCACAATTTCTCCTTTTGTGAATTTTAAAATGCTCAACAGGTGTTAATGAATTATACCTATCTAAGAACTACATGTTGTTTTAAAACCTAATTTTCAGAATCCCAAATTAAGACCAAGACAAAGATTAAATCTCTGCCCAAGGGCTTCAGTGAGAGGGTAGCAGATATTAGTCACTGATTAACTGTTAGTTATCTGCCCATTCATTACTTTAATTAAAGCACCACTGTTTAATTGGCAGTCAACTCTAATAATTTAAGTTTCAAGGAAAACACAGTTTACTTAACATCCTTAAAGACTTGTCACATTTAAAAAATTTTTTAAATATCATCCTCTCCAACTGGCAGTGTCCCTGGGTGCTTTCTGGAGTGGTCTTACAGGGATATTTAACTATTCTGAATATTTGACAACCTTTGTGAAAACTTGTGATTTTTACCAATGACAAGTTAATTAAACGCTGTCATTTGGAACCTGGATGCATCAGGGATCTTATCATCCTCAAATCATTCCGCAGCAATATCTGACCTTTCCAACTGGGAAACAGATAACAGGAATTGTGCTGCCCAAGGCACAATAGCCTAATGTGATTAGAAATCAGGCAAACTCTGGCTTCTCTGGAGCTATACTCCCCCACAGGCTGAATTATAGCTCTCCTACCAGTCCCACGGCGCTGAATGATGTCATGGGATCTGCAGTTGAGCGAGATGAAAGGGATAAAGCAGAACCCGCTGGCACTAGGCGGCTTCCAGCACACAATCTACAACGCTGCTTGGGAACCGAAAAAGACTACGGACCCAGCCACTCAGCCCAAGCTTGGGAGAACCACCACCGGTATCACCTCCTTGCCAAACAAACAAACAAACAAAAACCAAAAAACAAAAACAAAAAAACGGAAAACGTGATCCGTGTTAAACAAAAGAATTTGTGGGTTAGGAGGTGGGAGGGCGACTACCTGCTGAAAGTGAACTTTCTTGATATCCATGCTTATATATAAACCTAGCCCTGCCTTTGATGTTCTACAACTGATCAGCGATCAGATTACGGGCATTTCAGCTCCCTGCTCCTCTGCCTTTGATCTGCATGGTTAATTTCATTTTCCTGGATTTGAAGTTTCGTCTGGGCTTGTGCTGACACACAGTTTTGGGAAGGTAGAAGCATTTGGCAGAGCAGGGCTGCCAAGGAGAAGCTAAGTTGCGGAAAGGGTGAGTACTGGAAAGAGTTCATTCAGCACATTGCAGGTACAGCATTTTATGTTTTGTTGTAGCTTTCGCTTCACTTTTCCTGTGTGCTCTAAGAAAAAGATGGTTTTAATCAATTAAAAGCAAGCTTTTGTTACTTGACTGCTATGTTAGGCTACATGCCTGTGCCAGAGTAAAGATGATACTGAATGCCACGCTAGTAGTTTGTACAAAAGGGTTTGCAATGTGTCATGCAAATTTTACTTGGAAATGAGTTGTTCAAACAGGACAAAAAGGAAGAGAGCTAACTTTAGCCTGCGACTGATGCTCTGGAGCCTGAGGTCTGTAAGCTATAATTGCTCTAAGTATTTACAGGTTACTTTATTTAGTAAACAGGCAGAGGAACTTTATTGGATACCAATGTTTTCCTTGTTTTCTTATATAAAAGAGTTTAGTACATCCCTGGCAATACTCTTTCCTTAGTTTATTTATTCTTTCACCTCCAAGATGTAAGCCCATCAGATACATCTCTTTATGCAGTTTGTATCCTCAATCACTGAAAAGGCATTCAAGTATGATTAAAGCCTTTAAAGTGTAAAACTGAAGAATTTTAGAACAGTGAGGGTAAAGCTGCCCTAATTTTGCTTTAAAAACCCTCTAGTGCTATTCTGTAACTTTTGAAAGTAGCACAAGCCTTATTTACACAAACATGGACAAGGCTAATATTCCTAAATTAACATTTACTTTAAATTTATAGTGACAGCTGTTGTGAGTTACAATTTGCCAACTGTTTATGAAAACTGAGTAATCAACAGTTATTATGTGACAAAGTTTTTAGTCACATTTTCACTTTGGTTTATGCTCAGCATGGCAAAACCAAAATATATTCCTGGGCTGACTTTGAATGTTAATGTTGTTGTGGGGTTTTCTTGTTTGTTTGGTTTTGCTTTTGTTGCTGTTGTTAGTTCAGTAATCACACACACACACACACACACACACACACACACACACACACACACACACACACACACAGTAAAATCTTTACATTGCGATGCAAGAACTTAATACAGTGGAAAAGTAAGAAGAATTCCATGTTCACACTAGTTCAATTTAATGTTCTAGTCCTAAAGTTATTTGGGTAAAAATTTAATTATCATCATAACAGTCTATTTTATGCTAGGCAAACCACAAAGAAATTATAAATGATAAGACCAGTTATTCTTTACTTTGAAATTCTGATGAAACAGGAAAGATCTAATGAGGCTCATTTCATATGTAATTAATTTTTCAGAGCCAATTAATTAAATTACTTTCTAACCTTTCCTCCTGATATTAGAAGGAGGGTAATTAGCACTGTTTGCTTAATTTTAAAACTTTGATAGCTAAGTGGAGATTATTTAAAACTGTACTAAGCTGACTACATTTTAAAAATGTGTCAGTAAGAACTGAATCTAAAAGACTTAACTGTTGTTTATAGTCACGCCAGGAGAAACACTTACGTTTTTGTTTTACTGACAGTATAACAAAGCATGTTCATAATATCCTGGATTATCAGTTTAGATTTATTTTTTCTCATTTGTTTGCTTAAAAAGTTTTCTTTAAATCACAAAAGTAGTATTAATGTTCACATTCAGATAAAGAAATTAAGCTTTTAAAGTAATGACTGAAGAAGATACCTAAAAAATAATGCTTAAGAACTCGATCATTTAGTTCAGATTTGTGATTTAAAAAAATTTTAAATGACTGTTTATTCTGTTACTAGGTTCATTTTAACAAACCCAGACTCTACTCAGCACAAAACAAAAGGGAGAATTAGCAATTATCTGATTAATTTAGGCTTTGTAGAAAACTAGCTTGGGCAAGTCAGGCTCTTGAAAATCCACTTCAGTGTCTGAATTAATTCAATAATTGTTTACTTCTGTGTCCTCATTGAGAAATGAAACATTCTATTTGATTTTAATAGAAAGATGGCTATTGCTGAATGTACAAGTACAATCTCAAAAGGCATTTCTTAATTGCCACGTGACGATCTGGATTGTGATTTAAGTAGATATACTCCATAATACTTCTACTAGTATTATGAACGAAACCCTTATATGACATTTTTTCAAAGCACTTTCCTGTCTGTTGCTTCAATGGCAGCTTTGTTATTGCAGAAAGTCCAAGTCTTCAAAAGACTTTTATTTCTAGTCCTGATTCTGTCACTGATTAGCTATGTGACCTTAAGAGAGTCACTTCACTACTCAGTTTTCTCATATGTGACCTGAGGGACTTGATCAGATCATCCTCATGACATAAGCAAGGTGGAATTTTTATAGCCACTTGACAGACAAGGAAACTGAGACTAGAGAAAAGTCACTTGACGATCTTAGCTAAGGTCTCATGGCTAGTTTTGAAGTCCTTGTCCAATGTTCTTTCTAGTTCACCATACATAGTCCATTTCCCAACAACTGCTAACACAAATGCACTGGGTACCTGATCAGAGCAAAATGTTAGTTTGAATGATAAAGATAGCCCCTTCCTTCTGCAATACATTTTTGTTTGTTTGTTTCTATGATAGATATGTCAGTCAACTGGATTAGTCTGGTTATTTTGCACCTGTTCCTTTTGCTTCGCTATTTCTAAGCAGTCTAAACACAAATACATAATTTACCATATCATTTAAAATAATTTTCACCAAAAATGTAATATCTCAATGCAATGTGGAATTACATATATTTGTGTGTGTGTCTGTGAGCATGTGCATATACATTTGGCACATCTTTGCATATATTCAAGGAATTGATATTTTCTTAAATGATATCGGTGAGATCCAAGAAAAGTAATTCCTAATTAAAGGTTGCTACTCCTCAAAGGGGATTCCCAGTGAGATTTTGTGAGATCTCAGCTTGCAAATTCAATATGGGTTTGAACATGACATGTGTTCTGTACTACATTTGATTACATTAAGAATCCTTGAATATGTTTTTCTTAACTCTTTCTGTGTCTTTTTCTTTAAATGAATATATTTCTTGTGAATACATTTAATTGATGTATTAACTATAAAATGTACATACATACACTGCTCTCTAGGCCAAATAGCTGTCTATCCCTCATGTCCTATCACTCTCATAAAGGTTTACAGATGATTACTTAGTAACAATCACTAAGATTTATTAGTTCACCAATTATTAATTAATTCACTAATATTATTGAGTACTTGTGTGCCAGGCACTCTAACAATATTTTTAAAAACAATATCTCACTTAAATGTACAATTAAGTTTGTCATGCCCATTATATAACTGAAGAAAGTGAGACTCAGAGGGCTTAAACAACATGTGCAAGGTCAAGGGGCTAATTAAGTGGCATCACTAGAGTATATAGGGGCTCTTTTGTTCTAGGGTGAGGCAGTTAATTCTTTCAGTTATAAGAATTATATAGAGCTGGACTTAACTGTTAGCAAATATTATAGCCAAATTTTGGCTAAAAAAATGGGGACTATTTTTCTTTATTTTGACTATTTTATGAGCATTATTCGAAGTTTTCATAGAGTTTTCCATCAGTTGGCCTAGAATCTTTAGCTATAAAGGACCTAAAGACATAACTCACTCTTCCGCTGCTACCGGACTGGACCAAACTCACGCACACACTATTGGTTTGGTCAGACTCCCCTGTGATAGCACCCTGAAACAATTAATAATTTGGTGCCCCTGTAAAGAGTGATCCTTTAAAAATGTGTCAGCCCAATTTAGAGGAATGGGCTATGAAAGGAGGGGCAAGGGAGGCTCCCTGGTGGCTGTGCTAAATTTCTCCTCTACTGTCACAAGTCAATCAGCTTTGGCTCCAAATCCACCCACTCAGAAGTCACTGAAGTCTCACATCCTTAGATTGAGAAGTACTTTAACACCATCCATGGTGACTTAACTTTGTCCTTTAGTGAGAAAGTTGAGGTGCGAGTGTCGAGCAACTTCATCAAACCATCCCTTCCAACATACACCACACTCTCTGAGATGAGTTCTGATAAGTACAGCTTTCTCCATCCTGTTCAATGTTTCCAAAATTTGGGATTTGGCAGCCCTATGGCCTAGCATCACGGGCTGCTGTCCAGCAAGCACGCTCCTTAATTTGGCCATATGCAGAGGAGTCCACCATATTTATCCAGAAGAAGAGGAAGAGAGTCAATGGCCCATCTCTTCTCTCATTAAACACATGAAAAGAGTCTGAGCAATAGGAGTGTTATAAACTCATAAAGACAGTTTATAGTTCGTAACAATGGTTGTTGGAAATTACTTAAATAGCTGGGTCTTGGTTATTTTTTCCCCTTATTTTCTTACTGTATTTGGCAAACTTTATTAATCTTTGAGATTCCTACTCCCATTTATTAATTCAGTCAACACGTTTTTAATGAGTACCTACTATGTGCCAGGCACTGTGAGCTAACACTGACAAAATTCAGGATTTTCATGTGGCTCGCATCTACTCCATTTTCCCAAGGAATAGTGATTTATACCGAAATTACTAGAAAGTTGAATAATTTTCCATTAACTTTTCTTCCAGTGAGCTAACTTATCGATGAAACTATTTTTCAAGAATCTTGTTACCTTGTTCAACTTTTTTTGGAAAGCATTCTAAGCAAATATACTTTGTATCAGCTTAGATATTGCTAAAACTAGCTTCAAAAAACCAACCCTGAACAAATCTTAAAAACAACATTTTTTGCCAAGAGCCTCATAACAATTTGGCTTTTACAGTAAAAATCTCAACCCATTAATAATAGTCAGTGTTTTAAAGGGAGAAAAATGATTGCAGCCCTAATTCTAAGCATCAGTTTCATTCTGAATGAGCCTAGGGATTCTACAATTCTTTTTGTACCACCTCTGGTGCATAATTGTGGGCCTGGGCTCTCCTTTAGATACTGTCACCAGATCATATATACACTCAAAGTGAGGTAAAGTGGGAACTATTTATTAACTTAACATGCTTCTTCTTTATAGTAAGATGCATTTAATAGAGCACAGGGGTTCAATGTTCTTTGTCCCCACT